TCTTCCAGTGAAGCTGACTCGGACAACTAGCTTGAACGATATATCAGTTATATCCCGGTGTGTCAGCTTGATGTTGGAGCAAAGTATCAAGTCACACAGGTCATCGACTTCTGGATCATACTGAGACACATAAGCACAAATTTTATGTGACATCAAAGGATCTTATTGGGGCAAATGTAGGATTAAAACCCATGACAAGCATATCCTTGCATAGCTAAGGGAGGTAACCCTGAGCAATAAATTGATTCACCTTAGACATTTGTGCCCTTCATCCTTCAGTCAGACATTATTTACACGACATTCATCGCATTCATCATCTTGATACATTCTGTGTTGTGGTACACTGTTGTTGTGGCCTCGTCACTGGTGCCACTCCGCCGACTTTGTTTACAGTCATTACTGCTGTTGTAGGCAGGCTTATCTCAACGGGGAGTTCAGCTGTTTACCTGGGTCATTAAGCGTCTCTCTCAATTGGTAGACATTCTTCCTGTCCGTTTTCTGTGTACCTCATATAGATATCTTCGTTTGAGGAGGCAACTAAAAAGGTGTGAGATAATCTGATAAATATTCTTACTGGAATGTAACTGCTATTTTGATACACAGGCTAAAACAATACCACCTGTACTTCTCACTACATGACAAGCTCATCATTTTGTATTTCATCTGTTCTGTATCATTAAGTTTACTGTTTCTAAGATATGTAGTTTAAGAACTGGTATATTTTTCACAGTTTAGGTATGTGGTTTCACAGGTTATTTAATGAATTACCTTCAGAAAAGATATTCTTTTGTTACACCGGGAACTACAATGCATTAGGACAAAGCAGATAATGAGGCTATGGTTGTTTGCACTACAGGAAACATAAATTATTGGTTGAGTGCTGCACATATGTTGAATGAAGTCGGTGCATGGCTCCGTAATGTTACCCAGCTCCTGTCCCACATCACAGAGCTGTACCTATTGTCCTCATATGAACCATAAAAATACCTCCCGTCATCGAGTTTCAAAACTGATCTTAGCCAGAGATTGTGCCAATCAGATGATGTTTTAATCTCCGCTAATTACAGACATTTTGCTGATCACATTTCTATCAAGCCTATGATTAGACATGCTGGCTTGTCAGTGCATAAAAAAGTTGCAAATTACAAAAACTGTTCAACCCCGTCATTGGCTCATACCGTAAATCACAGAGAGCATCAATCTGGGGTTTTGTATGGAAGCAGCTGACAGGTTTACCTGGGATAGGGAGCCGTACACTGAAGGGTTACTTTGTTCAGTATCAGGCTGCTATGTTAGGTGCTGTCTTCCCACAACCTGCAGGTCTTGATGAGGCCGAACAGGACCAGCAACTGTTATCTGTTTCACGAATATTGAAACATGCCCGATATTTTACTATACAGATTCTAAAGATACTTTATCATCTAAGTGCTCCCACAAAAGGCTCTTTGCTTTGTTTTTCCTTTGAATTTTTTTGGAAAGTGAATCTAGATTGTGTGTTTTCATTGAAAAACATATTGATCATATGTCTTGATTTCAAGATGATAAATATTGCGTTGGCATTGTAATTTTTAATTGGAAATATTGTGGACAAGTTGAAGGTCTGTCTTGCACTGTGTCAATTCATCAGCGGAAGTCATATTCACCTGGGTATTGTAAGAAGGAAAAGACAAAAGTGAATTTTTGTGTTATGAAGAGGAAAGAATCATTTGTGAGACCTAGCCATTATTTTTGTTTAAGATGTGATCTACATTTTGTATATAAAATAATGTTTGTAAATTTTTGTTTGTGTAAATTTTCTTTTGAACATTTTTGGGGTTTCTTGTTTATTCATGGTGAGAGGTTTTTCACCAAATATATAATAGTAAGTAGTAATTGTATTCAAATAACCCTTGAATGTATCATGTTCACCACCTTACACCTGGCATGTGGACCACAGAACCTACACAAGGAAATACATCAGCCTGGCCTCAGCATGGAAGAAAAGGGTGAAATAGATAAGAAAATTGAAAGAAAAAGGCAGGGGGAATAAAACAGAAGTGTTTTGTGAGGAAAGTTGTAAGGAGAGACAATTCTGATTGAGTTGTGTGAGTGGTGGTGTATACGTGCCGTATATCCCACTCTTGATCCATGAGAAACAAAGGGCTTGCAGTGACAGTGCTGGTTAATTGGCCATGTGTCAGGGAGTAATCCAATACAGACAGTATATCTATCTGGTGTCCACTGGTGTATAAAGAAGCTTACTGTATCTCATTGGTTGAGACACATGCTGATAGCTGCGTCATATCACACAATGTACTACCTCGTGCTGGCCGATAACGTATCTATATTGCCCCTGCACCAACATGGCGCTGTTGGAATGGACCTCCTTCCAGCCATGAAGAATATTGAACCAGGGATGAAAAGTACTGGAAGTAGACCTGTAGGAAACATTTCAGATGAAGTTTTGGAAAATGGTTATTCCTTTGGTCTTTCAGAAAATCTCAGGAAGCACCTGACGTTGAATTGTAAGTTTGGAGGATGTGGAACCACCCAGAAACAACTGCTGACATAGAGGAATAAAATTCCTCTTAATAATGATAACATACTACTATATCAGCTAAATTTAGATAGAAAAATAATTTTTTAAAATATTTCTTTTCATTTGAAAAGAAGTTCAATTGAGATTGGAGTTTCGGAACCTTTTGAAAATGTAGACTTGCTTCATTTAGAGCTATAGGATGACAGGGTGGTTGGAAAGGAATATAATATGGTTCATGGACTGTAGACAGACTTGATGTTGACTGTACAGGGATGATGGCTAAAGAACACATGGTGGGATTGTGCCGCAGTTCCTCCCAATATTTCCTTCCATTAATTTACAGCCAATCAGGCCTTGGAGGAGGAAACAGGTGTGTCTGGGGGGCGCAGTACATCCTATACTGCAAATACTGCCCTCTGGTGGCAGATGAGGGGAAGATAATAGGGTTGTTGAAATTGGTAGAGAAGATTGTATCTATAGACTCTGGCAGACAGGAAACTGTATAGTTCTAACTGTTGTCTTTGGTCTTGATCATCATGGAGTGTGGTCAAGCACCAGGAATGTTTGTGTTGCTTGTTGGATCCTTGTTTTGATGGAAGTTAAACTACCTTTGCTGTCATTACATCATCATTTTACATCATGAATTTATTAAGAAAGCTTCAACTCATTAATGCTAAATACGTCTCTTACATGTAAATATATTCTCTGTAGTACATGTAGTCGTTCTTACATGTAGTCGTTAAAGGGATTGTTCTGGTGTGTTGTTGGAGGGATTGTATTACATTCCTATACTTCTGTTGGAATCTAGACAATAGTGTGGTTAGAATGAGAAACAGGTTGTGATCAGGTCTGTTGATGACATTACATGATGTTCTTGCTATCAAGCACTGGTTTGTCAGGAATGTGATTATTTAAGGGCTGCTGTGATCTAGCTGGACTATTACTGACTGTGCTGTCTCTCATGCTCATTTTCCGATACAACGATCTATACGATCTTTCCTCACATCTTATACAACATACAGTTGATAATATGTATATGGTTCACACTTGTAACTAATATGTACCTTACTGCACACTGATCAAGCTGTGAAAAGAGTCCTACATGGTTTACAATGTTGCACAATTCTTGCCCATGTCATGTCTGTATGCATTGTCTTCATGTGCAATGTTTCACATTGTGTAAGTGTTGTTCTGTCTGCCAATGGGTGAGAGATTACGTGCAGTGTTGCACATTGTGTAAGTGTTGTTCTTCCACCCTTGTCTGCCAATGGGTGAGAGATTACGTGCAGTGTTGCACATTGTGTAAGTGTTGTTCTGCCACCCTTGTCTGCCAATGGGTGAGAGATTACGTGCAGTGTTGCACATTGTGTAAGTGTTGTGTCTGTACACCTGTCTGCAAACTGAGAATGTTGCACAATGTCTGACGATGTAAGTGTTGTCACTATGTGATAAGTATTGTATTCCAGTGCATTTGACAGAAACTAAAACTAATTAGATTTTTACTTTCAGGTGTCCTTTGCATTTTCTCAGAATGACTTGATGTTGTACTGGACTATCAGCAGATTACTTCTCTTATTTTTATTTTGTGCACAAAATTGTTTATTTGGTTTTATTTTGATATTGTATTCCTTTACAGTTTCCATAGATCATCTTTCTTCCTTTAGTTTCAGTTAGTTTACTTTCTGCATGACTAGGTTCACAGTGAAGAGTTAGCATTTGATGTTTTAGGCCAGACCAAAATATGTCCTTGTTTTTCACTGATTATATTACTACTTATGCTAAAAGTATTTTGAATTAGTTTTAACAAGTATAGTATCACAAATATGTTTTCAAGAACATAATTTCATTAAAGAAGAACTTCTTTTGTTTTTAAAAATACTTAAAATAATTGAAACAAGGCAACTGGTCTGGTCTGGATTTAGGCCAAATCAATTTTCTACATGTCTGCTAGACACAGGCATGTGATCTGCTGTAGTCGATGAGCGGATAAAAGGAATGGTAAGTGATGGTAGAGATAGACAGGACATCTACAACCTGGTCATGACACTGTATCCAAATACAGGAATCTCAAAATCACAATTCCCCAACCTAATCCCCATCTCTACCATAGACTCTTCCACCCTAAACCCCATATCTACCATAGACTCTTCCACCCTAATCCCCATCTCTCCATAGACTCTTCCATCCTAATCCCCATCTCTCCATAGACTCTTCCACCCTAATCCCCATCTCTAAGTAGACTCTTCAACTCAAAACGACCCTCACCCACCATCACATCAGCTAGATCTGTCCACTTCCCATTTCTCTTATTTTGAAAATGAAAGTGAGATAAAATTCTATTTAGTTTCTATGAGTATGTCAAATGAAAAGTTTTAGGTTTGTGAAAGTTTAAGTTTGTATTGGTCCCAGTGTCATGACGGGTGTCGCTGTGAGCGCCCTCTGTAGGTGAATGTACTTCACGTGTGTCTCTCTCTAACGACAGATGGGACGTGGGGCTTCCACAAACAAGGCTTCTGTCAGTCAGGCTTGAGCGTTGCCCTGTCGCAAGTGAGTCCGTTGGACATGCGCGTGTCATGCTGTGAACATGCATGACGTTTTCGCACTAACCAAAAGAATCCATACCAACCCTGAACATAATATTGAAAATGGTGTTGTGAATTTCAGTTTTTGTTGTGCCTTTAGATCTGTTGTGTTGACCAGTCTTTCCTGGTCACGCCAGTGTTTGCAGTGTTTGCATGTTGGACATTTGTGTGGGCGTGCATTTGGAATGATGTTTGAATAATGTTTCAAAGGCTTCTGGGAAATGCTGTTGTTGTGTTGTTTTATGTATCTATGCCTGTATTGTTGTGCTGTGCTGTGTAATGATTTCTATCCTGTCTTCTATGATGACTTCTACAGTGCAGAAATGTAAGTAATCAAAGTTGTGACAAATCACATCGTTATTTATGATTTCTGTTGGTTTGTAATTGGTCTTGATGAGGGAGCTGCTGGATGAAGCAGTGGACATATCCATGGTCAAGAACAGCAGAATATTACAAGTTAGAGGTGAAATGGGGTTGAATGTTGCATTCAGAATGATTGCAGTTATAAAGCAGTGTGCATACATGTGTGTATCAAAGCTTGTACTAATTGAGACTAACGTCGGCTTACCATGGAAGCCCTCTCAGACACAATACACCGATTCCCAGACAGACCCTGTTGTATTCGTTGTGAATACACAATGCCATTTAGAAAGTGGTCAAATGGAACATATGTTGTATTTACTTACTTAGTAAAGTACAAATTCTCGTACTTTTGTTGGGTTGTGTCCCATCCGGGATTCATACCCGCACCCTCAGAGTCAGTGTTCTATTCCCTAAATGCCAAGCACCAGGAAGGGAAACATCAAGTATCTTGTAACATCTTTCAGTATCATGTGACTAGGATATTAAGCCACTAACCGTAATTTCACTGGGCATATGTTCTATCCACCACATCAACTATCTTCTATGACATATTCACATTTGTATACTCACTGAACTCCCTTACAAATCTTATTTAAACATACCATGACTAGTTCTTTCTTTTAATTTAAAATAATTAATTTGACATCCGAACATTGAAGGTTGTTGCCATTGCAGCAAGTTAGTCACTTTATGTCTATTTCATGTTAGGGAATTGTATAGAGTCACATGATATGTTAGGTCTGGAAGCCCATCAGTACACCTTGATGATGACCTTCTGTGGCAGCAGGCTACTGACAAGTGGCATATCGTCTTGCTGACTGAGTATTACCCACCTGTGAGTTCAGGTGTTTGGTGTTACAGGGTAATTAACACACGACGTGATCAGTTGGATCATCTCCTTGCAGATAACACTGTGGAGACAAGAGTAATTTGTTGCCATCACTGAATGAGATGGGAGGTCTAAAGATTTCTACCTGATGTAGGTTTGATTTCAGATTAGTTCCTTGGAAACTTTTTGTAATTGAAATTTCAAGAAAAATAAGTAATAAGAATCTTTAAAAAAGCACTTTTTCAGTCAAATATATAATTTACATCTTTCCACAAAAAAATTCACATTTGTAATATGCATTATATAATAAATACTAGTATAGTGTGCGTAAAAATTCCCATGAAGGGTTGTCATAGATACTGTATATTTTATATTTAACTGGTAATCAGGTTGCCATAATTGGTGGAATGAGAACAAAGGCAAACATTATGACCCCTCTAATCTTTTTGTAAAGTTTAAAGTGTCTGGTTTTGTGATTAAATTTGGGCCCTTTACTGGGTTTGAACAAGACTATATCATCTAAACAACACTGGTAAAAACTGTTATACAGTGAGGCAAATAAGTGAAAATTTGAGTGTAATTCAACCATCAAAAACATTACTGGAAGTGAATCACTGGGCTGCATTGTAGTATAAACTCTAATTAGACGACCCATCAGTTAGCCTGTGTCGACCACACTGAAAACATTCAGAGATTTAAGTGTCAAGAATATTTGTCAATTTGGCAATAACAGGACAAAAAGATGATCACAAATCCATATTTCCTGGATATTTTGACAAGTAATAATTTTCAAGTAGCAATTTGGGCTGCTGCCACAAATCATCTGCAGCGTGCTGACGCATTGATTCAGATCACAAGATCCATTGAAATATTTCAATCATAATTCTAATAATTCATAAATCTTTGAAGTATAACGGTTGTGATTGATGTTGATTATAGACAATTCAGAGGGTTACATTGATATCCCCATAGGATATCATGATATCTGATGGTATGATTACTGGCTTCGTGAAGTGGCCCCTCTGTCATCAGCTCCATCACAATAATAAGATGGGGAAGCTCTGGGTGGCCGTCTGGTTAAAGCATTTGCTTATCATGTCTGTGACCTGGGTTTGATCCCTATCATTGAAGTGGTAGCCAACTCTTGGTGAGTTATTCTGAGCATTCGCCGGGGAAACTCTGTAGCAGTGTAACAATGAGACAGTAAACAAACTGAAAGCTAATTTGTAACATAAATAAACTGAATTAAAAATTGTAAAATACAATTTAAAAAGTGTGGAACTGAAATGCAGGTATAAGAAACTGAAAAATGGCAGCATTAGACAAAGTGATTAAACTGCGTGGAAGCCAGATAGAGCAGTGTTGACCTGAATGTCAGTAGGGAAATTAAATAGAAATTGAACATGATGACACTTACATGCAATATTATAAAACACACTGTGAGGCTGATGTGCAGTATTATGCTGGAGCAGTGCTCTGTTGCCACTCAGTAGGAGAGAGTCCTCAATCACTGGAGATGACCTTTACGGAATATCAATGTTTCATGGCCAAACTCAATTTTCCAAACTGAAATCTGAAAATGAGGGAGGGATACTGACATGTACAGTAGGGTTTGGTGTAGACATGAATGTAGCACTGTTGAGGTGAACTCTTGGCCCAATGTCTCTGACAGAAATCAAAAGCCAAAGACCCAGTTCCAGAAACAACCATGGGTGTCTGATTGGCTCAGAAGGTATTATCTTCCAGAGACCAAAGGTCTATAATGGATTATACAAGCCAGGTATATGACCCGGTACAATAACACCTATATCTCCACCACAGGTATATACAGTGTAGGTATTGCTCTTATGTCCATGCATGGGGGTCAGTCTCACACCTTGTAATGGAAGAATGTGACACCGTCAATGAGATCCTTCTGTCTGTCTACACACATGTTGCAGGCTTGTTCCGATATCTGTACCAATGCTTTCCACACTTCTCTGATCTTCCTGGCACAGTATTCTCATCGTCCTTATGTATGGTTCAGACCATGTCATGAAATACACCAGAGTTTTCAACACATTTCACAAACTGCATTAGAATGTTGCCTTGTTTTCATCCCCAAGGCAGTTACTTGGATAAAACAGCCAAACTTCCTCTTTCACTTCTTCTGTGCTGTATGCTGCACTTAAAGAAAACTGAAATGATGAATTTAGAATTTGTTTTTGTGTGCTTTTGGTGTTGATGGTTTGACCATATTGTTTATGGGTGTTTGATGTTGTGTTTCGCCTAACTGCATGGTGTTAAATATTTGAGTGATGTTTGAACTTGATTGTCATGGCAACAAGCGAATTGCTGACCAGTCAGGCATGCATGAACAGTTTCCACTTGTAACAGCTTTGTCAGAAAATGGCTGCTCCTTGAGTGAGTTAGTGAGTTAGATTTAGTGCCTCTTCAGCATTAGTTCAGCGCTGTCAACAGGGAAGGAGATCACAGACATTTGCAAGGTGATGAAGTCCACTGGCACAGGTAATGACAACCACAGATAGACCCATACTTGATGTAGGAGCAAACTTAGGATCAACATTGAAGACAACATCTGCAGAACTCTGCATATCTACTTTGGCAGCTCATTCTCTTCCCACAGAGGTTACTTGTCATATCTTCCTACGAACCTCTGTTCTAACACGGCCATATTTCCCGGTTCTCGTAAAATCAAGACATTTAATGTCAAGCTTGTCAGTTGTCAACGAGGGCGATGGTGACGCCATTGATCCGCCATTACATGACTGAGTTCTGTCTAGAAGTAAACGTTTGCGTATCGCGCAGGGGAAGAGGTTCCAGTTTTTCCGAAGCATTCAGAAATTACCGAGTCCTTGCGAATGATCACTTTTGAAACAATGTCGCTGATTGCACAACTAAATCTGATTGCAACCAATCAGGAATTCTGAACACTTGCACCATGAAAGGGCCATATTAGAACAGATGTTCGTAGGAAGATATGACAAGTAACCTCTGTGGGAAGAGAATGTTGGCAGCTATGATCACTGAGCCTCCTTGTCCCTAACAGCGGATTTAATGGTTGCAAATGATGAAAATCCTTTTACCCCTGACCGTCATTGGAAGAACAATATTTTCATTTTAGATGTTGTAGAGATAGGTTCTCTTTTAGGGAAAGCTACGTGTATACTTCATATTGCAGGCATGGAACATCAATGTTGTATATAGTCCAATCCAAATGTGTGCTGTGTAGGTCATAGTTAAATGTTGTACACATATACAGTCAAACCTTGTTAATGCAGACTCTTGCCTATTCCCAAATACTGACTAGTTTCCAGATAACGGTGTCCCCTGCTGCTGGCGGTAAGTGAACGTCCCTGTGGGGATGTGAGAACCAGATTTACAGATACAGGAGTCTTCTATGTTGTGTATGTTTCATTTCACATAAATATCATCACGTTCTGTGTATGTGGGATCACGATAACCCGGGTTACACTGTAACTAAACATTGGACTTAAAAACTGGAGATCCAATCAACATTGCGATAGGGTAAGAGCAGATAAGGTCATCGCTCCCACAGCATCTACACAGCATCTGCTTATCTGAACCTCAGCTTACCATGTGTCTTCTTAATGCTTGGTTTAGGAAATGTGAAAAAAAGCATCAGGACTATTTGTTTAACTTATTTGATTGGCATTCTAGAAGTTGAGGAAATGAAGAAAGAGGACTTCTATATTCTGTATAGGCGATGTTTTGATATAGATTCTATTGACTGAACGACATCAGATTCTATG